TATATATATACACACACATATATCACTGTGGATGCATTCCTATTTACCTTCCCATGTCACTTCAGCTTCCATCACTTCAGATTCTACCTATGTTTCTTCTCAAAGATTATTATCATTTTATATAACTGTGATTACAGGATTTTGTGTACCACGTGTAGCTTTTACATGCATTGGTGAGATCATTTATCTAGTGCTTTTCCATACCTTCAAGACCTCAAGCATCAGACTATAAGTTCAAGGTCTTAATATATCTCATTCACAAATGTTTCCACAGGGCCTTGGACATAGTATGTCCTCAGTAAATAATGAATGAAGGAATCTTGAATATTTATTTCCATCCCTAAGGCAGAAAGGAGTAGAACTAAGTTTTCTTTAGATATATTTACACTTGGTTTAATTTCTACATCTTTAAAAACTCCTTTCTTCAATTCATATGACCTTCATCAAAGAGTTATTTCTGCAGAGATGGCACTTCTCTGCTGACTCATGTTGTTGTTATGTGCCATCGAGTCACTTGCGACTCACAATGACCCTATGTACAACAACCCTATACCCTGCTCTGTCCTGTGCCAATTTTATTGTCTCTGACACACCTACACCTATTACCCCAGTCACTTAATCAATCCATCTTATTGAGGGTATTCCTCTCTTGTGCTGTCCCTTCACCCTCCCAAGCATGATGTCCCTCTCTAAGGACTGGTCCCTCATTGCAGAATGTCCAAAGTATGTCAGATGGAGCTTCAGAATCCTTGACTCCGAGGAATAGCCTGGCTTCACCCTTTCCAGGATGAACCTGTTTGTTCTCTTAGCAGTCCATGGTATACTCAATACTCTTCTCCAGAACCACAGCTCAAGGCATCAATTCTCCTTGGATCATCCCTAGTCATTGTCCAGCTTTCTGATGAATAGCAAGTAATTGCAAAGACCGTGGCCTGTATCAGATGTGCCTTGGTCTCCAGACTGACATTGTTGCTCTTCAGTTCTTTGGAGAGGTCTCTAACAGCAGACTTTCCCAATGCAATTTGTCTTTTAATTTCCCGTCTGCTAGTACCAAGAGTGTTGATTGTAGAGCCAGCCAATTAAACTGAAGCTGTCAATAGTCTCAATCTCTTCATTGTCTATTATGATGCTGCCAATGGGCTCAATGGTGAGAATCTTTGTTTTCTTTGTGTTGAGCTTCAATCCATGTTTAAGGCTGCAAGCTTAATCTTTTAGAGTTTCTCAAACTGTTTTCTTTAGGTGCCATCAAGTCGACTGGGACATTAGAGACCCATGAACAGCAGATCTGAGCCTTGCCCTCTCCTGCATCCTCACAATCTCTGTCATGCTTAAGCTCATTGTGGCAGTCATTTAAACGATCGGAAATGGAACAAGCAGAGTAGAAAGGATGAGCATGTTGACAAATTATGAAAAAATGGAGCCAAAGTCACTGAACAACTTCTGTAGAAATTGTTGCATGAGAACCTAAGCTACTGTGTAAATCTTTACTGAAAACATAATAAAATATTGTTTTTTAAAAAATCAGGATTTCTCAATATTGGCTCTGTTGGCATTTGATGTTTTTCTTACTTGTTTAGTGCTACTATAACAAAAATACCACAAGTGGATGGCTTTCACAAATAGCAATTTATTTTTTCACAGGGCTAGGTGGCTAAAGTTCAAGTTCAGAGCACCAACTCTAGGGGAATGCCTTCTTCCTCTACTGCCCCTGAAAGAAGGTTCCTGTGTCCTTTCACCATCTGTGGTTCAGGGTCCTTTAATTTAAAAGTGTTTTTCACATCAATCTTCCCCAAAGTCTAAAAGGGTCACAGCAGTGATTCTGGGTCCAAAGGATGAACTCTACTCCCCCCCCCCCAAAGTATGTATTTTACTATAGCTCTTCTTTCTTGATGGTAATAGATCACTCTTTCTCTGGTTGTTTCTCTCTCCTTTTATCTCTTGTAAAAGGAAAGACCACACTCCAGGGAAACTTCCCATACATCACATCAGGACCGCGCCCTGAGTAGGGCAGTTGCATCTCATCCTAATTCCCTTACCAATGATTAGCTGATCACATTATGTGGAATGTTTATATTATTACATAAATGACAAACCACTTGAGAATCATGGTTCAACCAAGTTGACACATGTGTTTGGAAGACACCATTCAATCCATGATAGGGTTAGATGATGATTTATTGTTGGGCCTGTTTTGTTCATTGTAGGATGTTTAGCAGCTTCCTTGGCCTCTATCCAATAGATGCCAGTGGCAGTGCTTCCCAGTGTGACAACCAAAAATGTCTCCAGATACTGCCTCATGTCGCCTGCTGGCAGGGAAAAAACACACAAAACTGCTAGCTGAGATTTACTATTTTAAAGTGTGAAACTTCAGGCTTTTTCTTTGTTATAAGAATTACATTTAGGAACTCAGATTGTTGAATGATGCTTGGTTAATAAAAAAAAAAAGGATTCAACCAACCCAGTTGGATCAAAATAATGTGCTCTTTTCTATCTTGTTTCTCTAATGCTCCCCATGTTCCCTTTGAAAAGGCCATTAGTGATGGTCTAATTCAAGGCCGTATACAAGTCTTAGAAATTCAATTCCCTGGACTGTCCTACAAGGATGAAGGAGAGGGGTGGTGTTTCTGAGAAAACTAATACCTCTAAGACCCCTCTGGAATTGGCAGCCCCCCACAACTTTTCTAGGGGCATGTCTCAGAGGACAATAAAGGAGAGAAAAACAGTCCATTCTGGCATGCTTTTCAGGATCTCGCACTCTAAACAAGAAAGTCTGAGAGGCCTGGTAAAAATAAATATGGCTTAGCACTCCTGGCACAAGAGCGGTTTCTCACAGCCAAGACTTAACTCACCCTAGGGGGTGACCCAAGCAGGAAATATGCACAGAGTTCATTTCTATCCATTGATATTCCCAGTGACACACCACAGCCGGGGATGGCTCTGTGTACCAGAGCCTTGTGGACCCGTGAGGAGGCGGACTTGGGATGCACACAGAAAACAGTCTTTGGAGCCAGAGTCAGCCAGGGACAGCCAACCTCTCCCTTTCCTCCCCAAACCCAGAAAAACAACACAAATCATGCCTTCTGGAAAGGGACCTGTCCTTTGCATACAGAGTGGAAACTGTTTATAAATTCTTAATCCCCTAACATTGAAAGTATGGTGACCGGCTGTCCTGGATTTTTTAGGGCAAATGAATTCATGATACCACATGTCCTTCGTTTTCATCTGGGAAAAATATGGTCTCTGTAATCATATGCTCTTCCAACAGGTTGAAGAACAAGTCTTCATACACACTGCATATATCGAAATCCTGAGACCAGGGCTGCATCTGAAACATTGGAAAGGGCTGGAGTCAGTCTCTGCCCTCCCCCACCTCCTCTGCCCCAATCTCTAAGGTGACTTCAACCCGCAAAGTCTGCGTCTTTCTTAGCTCAGATCATTTAAACCTGATCTGATTCGACTGCCGCCTTCAGGCGATAAGAAGAACTACACACCCATGGGTGTGTGCGTGAGGGGGGAATGCCTCGGTATTAGTTACCATGGTGATGCTGGTTCAACCACATTGCATCTGGAGGGACAAATTCCAGGCGAAACAGGATAAAGGAACACTGGAGAAGAAGGGGTTAACACTTCACTTTGTTGTTGCTGCAGCAGCGTGAGAGGTTAATGTTAGCTTTTGGTGAAAGATAGTAATTTGAAGTGAAAGGCTTTGAAAAATTGAAAACAAGCAAGGATGAAATGTCAACCTATTCATTTGGAGAAATCTCCTAATATCCACTTTGCACGATACCAAATTACTTTCCCCTCAGCTAACATGGGGCATTTAGGTCTTCTTCGCTAGCCAGGGGAAAGTGGTTTAAGGAAACCCGCAGGTAGTCCAAAGCCAGGAAATGCTAGTTTACCAGCTTGGAGACAAAGTATGGTGTAAGGACAAGAAAGGTTGAAGATTTAGGCAAAAGCAACAGAATGAGATTCAATCTGGAAGGAGGAAAAGTGGTTACTAAATTAAGCCATGTTATTAATATATATTAGGAAGAGAAATAGGCCACAGAGCTGAAAAGAGGAAGAGTTTCTGGTTTTATATAGTAACCAGTAGTAACCCCAACAATAAACATTACTAAAAGGTCCTACACAGGGGAGTGAGATAGGATTCCTCACCCACTTCCCGCCAGGGCAGAATCAGAAAGTCAAAGGAGGTGAAGAGGCTAAGAACATTGACTGACAAAGTCAGAGACAGCGAGGAGGAACTAAGTCTGTCTGGGCCAATTCAGGGTGTCTGAACTGGGCCACAGGACACAGTCAACCATTTCAAGAAATGAGTGCAGGAGAAAGAGAGTCCGGAAAGGACTTCTCCCTGGAACAACGCTGCCTAGACGAAAGCGGGAAAGAGAGAGGGAAAAGCTGAGAAAGGAATTTTCATAGTGAGACCTTTACTTAAGATGCAACACTCCAGGCCCCTGATGTCCCTTGTTTTGAGGTTCGTAAAGACCGAGCGGATTACGCATTAGCAAGCCCTGCGTTTTCTGGGGCATCTATAAAGTCTGGACTTGGGGCGGGTAGGGGGCTGGGGTTACATCCAGACAACTTGGGTCAGCCTGGGGTCCTCCTTGGCTTGGAGTTAGTGACCAAGATCTGAGAGTTGCCGCTAGGAACATTTTTTTAATTAAATTTAGGGACTTTCGAGCAGTAGTAATGGGGACCTGGAGGGGGCTCTCCCAAGGGCTAGGAATGGG